TATATATACACACACACACACACACACACACACACAAAGAAAAACAAGTAGATAGAATAGAAAAAAGAAAGCTATTTTTTTTATAAAAAAAAAGATAAATAAAGTAGAATTAAAATAGAATAGAAAGTGCTAGAGTTAGAGGGTCAAATTTAAAAAAAATCAAAGTTCCTTTTTTCTGGTTCTGGAGAGCCATAGTTTTCTAAACTGTAAATGTGTAATTTCAGTTTGGCCTGCAGTTGTGATATGAGCAACCAGTCTGTAAATATATGGATTTAATTCTCACAAATTTCATAATTTTCTCTGTAGAGGGTTAATTAACTTGCAGTAATAGTTTTCATTTCATCTGTAGGTAGACCTAAATGAAAGTTATGATGACTTGCCATTTACTAAGTGAGTCAGATGTCAATTATGTTGCCTTTCTGACAGATTCAGTAAATTATTTGTTAGAATCAGGAATCGTTTAAATCAGGAATCTTTTGTAGATTCATTAAAAGAACTTACTCATAATTATTTGTTCTGGAATTATACCCAGTAATACACTGTTTTTGCATGCAGTCAGCGATGACAATTCAGTAGCAAGATTATATAAATATTTTAATTTTAAAGTTAGCTCTTAACGTAGTCGGCTTTAGCATCGATTTTATGTTAATTCATTATTGGTGTTCATTTTTGCCGGTTTAGTGACCATTTTATAAGTGAAAAAAGGCATTTGATGCCATGCTGTATAGTAAATATAGTGCTCTCTAAATGGTTAACATTTTGCTTTAGTCATGAATTTATGCACAATGTAGCACAGGCTCTTGCTTTATCGCTAAACAGATGTCAGGTTCTCACTGGTTTCTGCACTCAGGGATTCAGTGCTTCATGCAAACATTTTCACCTTCCCTTGTTTTCTCATCTCAGTTTCTGATCTGTTAGCCAAGCACTTGTAAAAATCTCAGCTCAGTGTCCACAGTTTCATCCAGGTCTGAGTGTATTTTAGTTGCTGGACATTGGTAGAGGAATGTGAACACATGAGACCTGCAGGCTGAAGTAAGCTTGACTTACTGTTTCTGTGTTGATCAAACAGTCATGTGAGAAGGATCTCGAACAGGGCAAATATTGACACAGTTAGATACACACACACACACACACACACTCTTGCATTTGTGGTTTACGGGGACTCCATAGGCGTAATGGTTTTTATACTTTACAAACTGTATTTTCTATCTCCCTACACCAACCCTACCCCTAAACCTACCCCTTACAGGAAACTACTGACAAATTTTGAATTTCATAAAACACCGTTTTGTATGTTTTTTAAGCCTTTTGTTTTACGGGGACACAGGAAGTGTCCTCATAAACCATGTTTACATTGTAGTACCCATGTCATTATACACATTTGTGTCCTCATAAACCATATATACCAGTACACACACATACACACACACACACACTCACAGCTCTCATTGTCAATTGAAGATTCACATGTATCAAGGCAGTGAGAGGATGAACAGACGGACAGGAATGTGTGTGACTGTGTTTGACTCAAGGAAACACCTGACAAACAGAAAGTTAAACCTTGACAGAGTTGAAGCCTCTTGAATCCCCTGTATTAACATGAAACCAGATGTTTTTTTATCTGTTCCCCTTTTTTCTCTGTCACTCATTTGTGTCTTTGTCTCTCTAAATAGGGGCCGGGATCATCTCAGAGTATGAAGAAGACCATTGGTCACCGAGGAGTTGACCCCACAGGAGAAACAACTTACAAAAAGGTCAGCTTGCAGTCAGGTTTGTCATCTGATAACAGAGGAAGGGCAAGAGAAGGAAACATAAAAAAAAAATAGGAACCTATAAAAAAAGAGGAATAGACCAAAGGGTGGAGTTGGAAAGGAAAAAGAGATTATAATGATACATTCTGAAATGTTGATGATGATGTAAAATGAATATCACGAGGGTTTTAAGGTACTTTCTATTTGCCCATTACATTTCCTGGACAGAGAGTTTTTTATAGAGTAGTTTTGTGATGCATCCTTATAATAAAAGCATTAATATCTATTTCTGTCTCTTATTTAAACTTTAGTAGCAAAAACTGTTTTGAAGTTGATAAGTTTGATTCCTTTTCATGGACCTACGAAATGGTCTGCTTAAATCACTGTGACTCAGTGATTCATATTGCTTTAATTTTGTTTTTTATATTCTATGAATTAGGAAATTATAATCTGTATTACATATCTGGTAAATATTGCTGCTGATTGATATGTATTGTTAAATTGATGCACACACAAATATTAAATATTATTTTTATTTGTTGTGTTTAAGTGATAAATTGTGTGGAAAACGTGGCTTTTTTATTTTTTTGTTGCTAGAAGGACCATGTAAATATCACTATCTATAAATATCAATAAATATAAGTGGTACACAGGATGAAGGGCGATTATCAGGATTATCGGGCACTTGACTTGGTTTGAATCTGTTGTTTTACAGTTTAGTTTTTTTCCAAATGCATTGTTATTTAAAAACAGGTTAGGATATATAATCCTTTTATGTAGGATTTCTTGCACATTTGAATATATATACTGTGTATATATATATATATATA